ACAACGCGCTTTAAAATTAGCGAACGCATTTTAAAAAATTACATTACCCTCTAGGTCCGTTAAATTATGCATGTGAATGAAAATAAATATGTTATATTGTAGGCATGATGTTGTATGGTATATTGTTTCCATTATTATATTCAAGAAATAGTTTTATATGTATATATATCGTGCAGGTGAGTGGAAAACTGCCATCCAGATGTATCACACGTGTGGTCAGTGGGTGGTGGCTCGGGCCCACGCTCCGGTTACAGTACAGCAGCAGGTTGCTGTTCAGTGGGCGGGGTCATTGACCGCCCGGGGCCTGGCGGCACTCGGGGCGAGGTGGGTCCTTCAGGCCCACAGGTATTGATGGTTAACAAACATTAACCTACCACCAACTAACTGCCTCTATTCTATGGAAAACAAATTTTTAGGGAGCGCTGATGACTATACAAGCGAATTCAGTGAAGAAATCGATTATTAATGCTAATGCATTACCTCCGGATACTGGACCCCTTTAGAAATATTGCAAAGTTGTACTTTTCAATGCCATATTGGCCTTACTTATTACGTCACAATAACAGTCAGATTCAAATATGTATTTAGATGGGATATTGCAATCGAGTTGAGTGAGATGGGTGGTGGGATCACGAAGTGAGAAGTAGCGAGGCATGAAGCAGCGGTTCTGGCTGAAGAGAACCCGGAGGAGGCTGAGGCGGCTTTCCTTAGAGCTTCGGCGGCTGAATCACCAAAGAGCTCTGGCCTTGGCCGAACAGCATGCCACGCATATGGTGAGATATTTTGTTTGATAAGTAACGTAATTTTAGTTTCAATGTTCATATACTTTATTCTGATTTACTTTATAAAACTCTTAAACGATAAGATTTGCTAATAAATTGACAATAGGACAGTTTTTGTCGTTAAAAAATTTGATAGCCTGCTTACATTGGCTATACAGTATACTAGCGATTATAATAGTGTAGTAAGTGTAGTATTATGTGACGTGTATAGACAGAGGAGGTGTTGGTCGAGCGCGGGGACCTGGCACAGTTTGAAGCTTTCATGATAAGAGCCAACCGACCGAGGGAAGTGGTGCAGCACTACAAAGACTTGGGTTCGTACGGAAATTACTTTATTGTATCTCTGAAGAATTCCTTTTAAAGAATGACAAAATACTTTGTTAAGAACGATAGTTTTTATAAAATGGTGATAGCTTGTTACCTTCGTCTATTAAGTATTAACATACATAAAAATATAGAACACTCTTATATGTTTATTTAAATACTAGTTCCTGTCGGCGACTTCGTTTACGTTTGTGTCAGAATTAGAAATGTATAGCTGACCGGACTAAAACTATTCAACCTTAAAGACAGTAAATAAGAGCGTTTTGTATTTTATCAATTTATTTCTTTTTCGATCAGATGAAAACTATCCTACGTCCTTTCCCATGTTCTAAGTTATCTCTCCACAAATTTTCAGCCAAACCGTACAGCCGTTCTTGACGTATAAATAGTGTAACTAACACGATGTATATACAAAGATAGTTGGTATAGTTCGGATCAAGTTGTTTGTACGAAGGCTAGTTGATGTGACATATTAGGTGTACAACTTTGCTTCCGCCGTTTTTTTCCGAAATTCGAGGCTTTATTGTAAAAAACTGGTTATACATTTATGATTCAAAGTATTGTCCATCGCTGGCCACTACTTTCTCCCATCTTTCGGGCAGCATACGAATCCCGCCTTGAAAAAACTGGTCATCTTTTGAAGCGATCCACAAATAGATCCAATTTTTAACTTCTTCATAAGACCGGAAGTGCTGGTCAGCCAGGCCGTGTGCCATTGATCGAAACAAGTGATAGTCCGAGGGAGCAACGTCTGGAGAATACGGCGGGTGGGGTGGGACTTCCCATTCCAACGTTTCCAAGTATGTCTTGACCACTTTCGCAACATGGGGTCGAGCATTGTCGTGCTGTAAAATCACTTTATCATGTATCTCGTTGTATTACGGCCGTTTGTCTTTCAATGCTCGGCTCAAACGCATTAATTGCGTTCGATAACTATCGCCTGTGATTGTTTCAGTCGGTTTTAACAACTCATAATGCACTACGCCGAGCTGGTACCACCAAATACAGAGCATACCTCGGAACCGTGAATATTCGGTTTGACCGTCGACATGGAAGCATGGCCGGGATATCCCCATAATTTTCTGCGCTTGGGATTATCGTAATGAACCCATTTTTCGTCCCCAGTCACAATGCGATGCAGAAATCCTTTCCGTCTTTGCCTTGCAAGCAGCTATTCACAAGCAAACAAACGCCGTTAAACATCTCTCGGCTTCAACTCGTACGGCACCCAATTTCCTTGTTTCTGAATCATGCCCATGACTTTCAGGTGTTTTGAAATGGCTTGTTGCGTCACTCCCAATGATCCTGCCAATTCTTGTTGCGTTTGACACGAGTCTTGATCAAGTAATGCCTCCAATAGTGCATGTTGCGGATTTTGATAGTATTTAACGAGGAGATATTAAAAAGGCGTAGATTAGTTGTAATGATAATTTTATTGTGATACATGTCTTATAACAGGGTAGGTAAAAAATTAAATTACAATAAACGAAGCGCCTTACATCTAAATCGCTCCGTAACCTTCATATGCAAAATTGCTCCATAATTTTAACAGGCGTTTGCGCCAACATACCCCCGGACGTTGAAAGATTCCCTTTCAACCAGAATTTCCATCTTCAGAAAGGTCGGGTAGTGGGCAGATTTTGCTAAATGATCTTCGAACCACGCCATTGGACGTCTTGACATCTGCAACTCTGATGATCCCATCTGGACCGGGATGGACAGCCACGATTCTCCCCATTCTCCACTTTAGTGGCGGCAAGTTATCCTCTTTTAAAAGAACTAAAGAGTTGAGTTTCAGCGAACCTTTACATGACCTCCATTTGGTTCTTATCTGAAGTTCCGATATATATTCCTTGCTCCATCGAGTCCAAAAATGTTGTCTCAGTTGTTCTATTCGTTGGAAGCGAGTTAAGGAATTTACAGGGCGATGTTCGTAGTTTGGCGATGGTAATGATACTAAGGGGCGTCCAATTAAAAAATGTCCTGGCGTCAATGGTGTTAAATCGTCGGCATTTGATGATAATGGCGTCAGTGGTCTCGAGTTTAAGATAGCTTCGATTTGGACTAAAGTGGTGTACAATTCTTCGTAAGAGAGGTTACAAAGGCCCAACACTCTAACTAAGTGATGTTTAGTTGATTTTACGCCAGCCTCCGCAAGACCAGCAAAATGAGGGGAGTATGCCGGGATAAAATGAAAGTTTATACCTTCCTTTGACATCTCTTCAGCTACCGAATCACAATTTGTTTTAAGAAAGCTCGAAAGGTCATTGTATGCACCGACAAATGAACGGCCGTTATCGGAATATATATTTTTCGGCTTTCCCCTACGTGAGATGAACCTTTTTAAAGCCAAAATAAATGTATTACTAGATAAATCACCTACTAACTCGAGGTGAATTGACTTTGTTGTAAAACAAATAAATATGGCTATATAAACTTTAACTAATTTTGTACCTCGACCTTGTCGAACTGCTGATTGGATTGGACCTGCATAATCCAAACCAATATTTTCAAAAGGAAAACCAGCTAGAAGTCGCTGCTGTGGTAAGTAACCCATAGTGGGAGTAACTGTTTCACCTCTGAATCGACAGCATCGCGTACATTGTAAGTAACATTTTCGAGCTAAATTCCGTCCTCTAATAGGCCAATATATTTCTCTAATAGAAGATAATAATAATTGAGGGGCAGCATGAAATAACCTTTTATGTTCATATTCAAATACTAAAACTGTAAACCGATGATTAGAATGTAGAAGAATAGGATGCTTTTTATCATACTGATAGTTTGAATTTTGGAGTCGACCACCGACACGCATGATATTTTGGTCATCTAAGAATACTTTGAATTTGTTTAACGGACTTTTCTTAGGCAACTCTTTTTTATTTATTAATAATTTATATTCTATAAATGATTCACTTTGAGATGCACGAATTATTACATTTAAAGCTCTTTGTAATTCTTGACTGGTAAAAGGACCAATATTCTTTACCTTTTTGCATTTCAGATCAACAAATCGTAAAACCCAAGCTAAAGTACGCCTAAGCCGTAGAAAATTAGAAAAAGAGTTAAAATTAATTAATCTATTTAATTCATCATTGTTGTCTAAAGCATGTAAAATAGTAATATTTGATTTCATTTCCGGTAGCGTATCATCATTTGTATGTAAAGGTTTAGTTGGCCAACATGACATATCCTTCATCAAAAATTCTGGTCCCAACCACCATTCTTTCAAATCCCTTATTAACTTAAAGGTGACACCACGTGAAATATAATCCGCGGGGTTTTTATCGGTAGGAACGTGTCTCCACTCACAACTGGCTGTCTTATCTAAAATTTCTGCAATTCTATTCCGGACAAAGGGTTGAAGCTTATTTGGTAACATTTTTAACCAGCCTAGCACTATCATAGAATCACTCCAAAAAAAGGTTCGTGCTGGTCGTACTCGCAATGATGCAATAACCTTTTCATATAAACGGACTCCTACCAGGGCGCCGCAAAGTTCCAACCTCGGAATAGTTGTGGGTTTAAGAGGGGCAACTCGACCTTTAGCCACTAACAAACGCACTAATACATCACCCTCATCACTAACGCTACGTACGTATAGGCACGCTCCGTACGCTCGTTCTGACGCATCGCAGAAAATGTGAAATTCTAAATATTTGTATGAATCAATAATAACACGTCGTGGAATCCTAATTTTATTTAATTCCGGTAAATCAACAATCAATTCGGACCAAAGTTTATTAACTTCCGGAGGCAGTTGTTCATCCCAAGACAGTTTGTGTAACCATAATTTTTGAAGCAACATTTTCATTGTCATTACACAAGGACTTAGAAGGCCTAGGGGATCAAAGATCTGTGAAATAACAGAAAGCATTTCACGTTTACTATTACTGTCTTTAACTGAATCACTGATAGGAAAACACAATACATCAGACATTGCCTGCCATCCTAAACCTAATGTTTTAGTCGATTCAAGTCCTCCCATATTTAAGTCTAGCGAAGACTGCGACGTGTCACCTCCGTTAACTAACTGCATGTTTGATTTCCATTTTCTTAAATTCATTTGGGCTGATGCTAGAGTTAAAGTTATCTCTTGACGCAAGTGCTCGACCTCAACCATATCATCTCCCCCTGTAAGGAGGTCATCTACATAAAAATCATGCAGAATGATTTCTGAAACCTTTTGATTATTACACTCTAAACCTAATTGACGAAGGCATCTGGTTGCTAAGAACGGAGCACTAGCCGTGCCGTAGGTGACAGTATTTAGTTGATACGTTTGAAGTGGAGATAGAGGGTTATCACGCCAGACAATCTGTTGCAAGTGTCTGTCTTTAGGATGAACCACTATAGTCCGGTACATTTTCTCGATATCTCCGGCGATTATATATTTATGTTGTCTAAATCTAATTAGGATAGATAACAGATCATCCTGTACTACGGGTCCTATCATTTGTAAATTATTAAAAGAAATACCAGTACTTGTCGGGCTACTGGCATTAAAAACTACTCTTAATTTTGTTGTAGTACTACATTCACGCATGACTCCATGATGCGGAATAAAATGTGCGTCTTTGTTTGTAGTGTCACATAGTGACATGTGACCTAAGAGCTCGTATTCTTTCATAAAACTTTTATACATTTCACAGAATTGTAAGTTACCCCTAAATCTGCGTTCTAACGATGAAAAACAATGCTTTGCTCGAGATAAAGATTCACCTAGGAGGTCAGAAGGATATTTTAAAGGAATTTTTACACAAAACTGACCGTTTTCTAAACGCGTAGTATTTTTTATAAAATGATCTTCGCATAATATTTCCTCAGGTGAATGATTTGATGATGTACAAACATCTTCTAGTTGCCAAAACCGCGTAAGCAAATGTTGAATATTGTCATTTAGATAATCCTCATCGTCTGAGATGAGCTTTGTTAAGTAGCACTTACTTTTTGTAAAGGGCAAAGGCATAGCATTACCCGTTGGCCCAGAGACTAACCAACCTAGCTTAGTTTCACAAAGAATGGGTTGCCCTGGTCCTAATTTAATTATATTCGATCCTAACAGGTCCCAAAATATATCAGCACCTAGTAATAAGTCTATCGGAGCCGGTGTATTAAAATTTGGATCAGCCAAACAGATATCGGATGGGATTTTAAGGCTTGACGGATTTATATAGCTATTAGGAACATTATCAGTTATGGATGTTAACACAAAACAGTTGATATTTACCATATAATCATTATTTATAGATTTTATTACTACAGAGCACATTTTATTAATTTGCGACAAGGAATTATTGATGCCCATCACTGAATTATTTATATTGTGACTAGAAAGTCCCAATTGCTTGTACAATGCTTCGGTCATAAGACAGGACGTGCTACCGCTATCAAGAAGAGCACGAGCGGTGTAAACTATATTGTTTTTCCCCATCACATTTACTAATGCAGTCGAAAGTAAAACATTGTGTTCAATTTTTGCAGTTAACGATAAGTTTGCGCTTTGATTTGATTGAGCGGACATAGTTGCATTATTACCCGTATCATTTACATTAACAGTTTTTTGAACAGAGGAAGTATTTTTGAATTTTGAATGTTCAGTAACGTGTACAAGAGTGTGGTGTTTGCGGCGACATATTTTACAGCCTGCCTTCTTACAGTTGTTGGCATAATGACCCACAGACAAACAATTAAAGCAAACTTTATAGCTAGGCAAAATTTGCAAACGTGCTTCGCATGACAGTGCCAAAAATTCAGGACACGAACTCAATTTATGGTCACCGCTACACTTTTGACACTTTTTAGGTTTAAATGAAGCAGAACTTAAATTATTTTTATAATCACGAGAGCTACCTTTATTCTTATAATCTTGTACAAACATTGTCTTGACTTTAACATTTTTTAATGTGTTTGCATTTTTATTACCTGATGAATTTGAAAGTTCTAAAGTTTCTATTATATCAGCTCGATTCTTAATAAAAGTTAAAAATATTGCAAACGTAATTTTTGAATTCCTTTCTAGGTTGCCTTTGTACTCCTCCCATTCACGATACGTTTTACTATCTAATTTATGTGTGATAATATAGATTAATAGAGTATCCCACTGATTAACAGGTTCACCTAGTGATTCTAGTGCACGCAAATTTTTATTTATCTGATCTATTAAATTTTTTAATGTTACTGACGACTCCTTATGAATAACATCGATATTAAATAATGTTGATACATGATGCTGAGTTAATAAACGCTTATTATCGAATCGATCACAAAGAAGTTGCCAAGCCACAGAATAATTCGCAGCCGAAAATTGAATTGAGTTAATTACCACAGCAGCAGATCCTTCTAGCGAGGATCTTAAATAATGAAATTTATTAATATCATTCATGTCATCATTTGAATGTATTAAACTCACAAAAGTGTCATGAAACTCTAGCCAGTTTGTATAGGATCCGTTGAATTTTGGTAATTGAATCGTTGGTAACTTTACAAATTTATGATTACAAGAAATAAATGTCGAGTCACTATTTACTTGATCCTTTTTCTTATAATTTGCAATTATTTCCTGAGCTCGAGATATAGACTTATAATACAAGGATTCGAACTCGCTACGTTCTAACAATTGACTATCCATATTGTCAGTATTGCATTCCAATGAAACCTGCACTTTTTTTTTTTTTTTTTTTTTTTTTTTTTTTTTTTTTTTTTTTTTTTTTTTTGATGACGCAGTGGAAACTCTTTTTACGAGCCGTCCAACCGACCTTGGTGGGGCCGGAAGGGATGTGTGAGGCTCGGCCTGGGCAGGCCCCTACTCACTAAAACCACTGCGAAAGCCATCGGCCGCTATGTCGGAGTACCCCGGATCTGTCAGCGACAGGGCACACCAGCGACTGGCCGGTCCTGGCAAAGACCGGACTTACTCCCTCGGAGCATGGGGGCGATCCCGGCAATTAGGACCACCCCGACGACGCCGGGCTTTCAAAAGGGCCGGGTTACCACGCCGACCCCAGCCCGGAACACAGGGGTGCTATTGGAGGCGTAGGAATTGCCTCCGTCGCACCCCCGTACGTCGCCTGCGGGGGGAGGGAGCATCAGCCGCCCTCTCCCTTTCCCGCTGAGATGCCTCCTTCGTGGACATGACCGTCTCACAGAAGGAGGACACCGCCAACCAGGACCCATCACTCTCGAGCATCTTCTCCACGACACTCGAAAGCGACAGGTCCACTCCGCCGAGAGCCGCCACAAGGTCTTGGCGCTGCGCAGCCCATCTCGGGCACACCTCGAGGGTGTGCTGGGCCGAGTCCACCGCAGCGCCGCACTCATGGCAGCCTTCTCCCGGCTCTCTCCTGGCCGTCCGACACAGGTAGTAACCAAAGCACCCGTGCCCGGTTAAGACCTGCGTCAGACGGAAAGTGAGGGGTTTGCGTTTCCGCCTCATCCAACGCTCTAGGACCGGGCGAAGCGCTGCCGTTGTACGTCTACCGTACGGCTGCTCCGCCAGGTCCTCCCCCCACTCCCGCATAAGGCGCTCCTCCCCCTGCCGACGAACCGCTCGGATCTCCTCCGACGAAGGGTTCTCGCCGAGTGCCCTCCTACCCGAGACATAGGAGAACAACTCGGCTCGAACCGACGCCACGAGATCCCAAGGCGGATCGCCGGCAAGGGCAGTCGCTGCGGCCCAGGAGACCGTACGGTACCCCCTAATCACCCTCACCGCAGGAGCCCTTTCCGTTCGGGAGGAATTTTCCCAGCGCACCTGCCGTCCTCACGAATGAAACCTGCACTTCATCGTATTGTTCATACATAGCCTCGAGCCTACTCAAACGTAATTGTAATTCACTAACCTCAGAGGTGTTCAAAGTTGAAGGATCCAATGAATTCAAATAGTTAGAAAAGAAAGTTAACCTTCCTTTGTAGGTCGCACGTTTCCTAGTTAACTCCTTATCCTCAGGCATTGCGAAGGCTGGTGTAACAATCTGGAATTTATACAAATCAAATTGAGAATTTATACAAATCAACAATTTAAACTAGTTACAGACTGTAATAATAAACAATACGACAATATTTTAAAGATTTAACAGTACAACAAATAAATTTTAAATAACTACAGTTTACAAGTTAGCACTGTATAAAAACTTAACAAAATTACTTTAACTTCAATATTAATAAAGCTAAATAAACTGAAATCTTAATAAATTATAACCGTAAAGTGATGTTGCAAATAACCTTTATGACCTTACAAAGCGTTTATAATGCAGTTATTTTATACTCTTTGATAACTACTCTTTGATAGATCTTTACAACATAATTAATAAAATAATTTAACTAGGCTTAATTAAGTTAAATTAAATTTATTATAATTATATTCGTATAATTTTATTCACGTTACAGTATTAACAAAGATATACTAACCTTAAGCACATTATATTACGTTAAATACTACCTTAAGAGTGTTGGGAATTAATAATCATCAAGACCTTTATGAGTTTACCACTGGGTACTCTGCTATCCTGACCACAGGATCTTCTTATTATATCAGCGTCCAAGTTATCCTCTGGATGACGCAACAAAATCATGCAGTGATTCCCAGCTGCGTATATAATATTTCTTGATGTCCAACAATATAATAAATCCTTGATAAATATTCTTTAATTTGAACTGGTTTATTCACATCCAGGCTCGAAAAGGACCATGTTGCGGATTTTGATAGTATTTAACGAGGAGATATTAAAAAGGCGTAGATTAGTTGTAATGATAATTTTATTGTGATACATGTCTTATAACAGGGTAGGTAAAAAATTAAATTACAATAAACGAAGCGCCTTACATCTAAATCGCTCCGTAACCTTCATATGCAAAATTGCTCCATAATTTTAACAGGCGTTTGCGCCAACAGTGCATCTTCGAAAACCTTCTCTCTTCCACCGCCATGCCGTCTTCGACGTCAAAATCACCGTTCTTGAAGAGTTGAAACCACTCTCGGCACGTTCTTTTACTAATAGCAGCCTCACCATAAGTATTTGAGAGCATTCGATGAGCCTCAGCCGCAGATTTCTTCATATTAAAGCAGAAAATTAAAACCTCCCGCAAATGACGAGAATTTGGCTCGTAAGCTGACATGTTTAATCGAGAATAACTTTATGATGCAGACACAAATCGACTAATATTTCGATGACGTTATGTTTACAAATGCCTAAGCTTATTGTATGACATCTACGATCTATTTATTTCGACTACCACTTACCGCTACAACCATCTATTGCAAAACGGCGGAAGCAAAGTTGTACACCTATGTATTATTCTAAATATTCCAGGTACATGTGCTGACTATGAAGAAGAGGGGGAAGAGATGCAACAAGAAACAAAAGAAAATCTGAATCAAATCTGAATTCAGAAAGTGAAGCGCTGGAGAAGTTAGTGAAAGCTGGCCAGTGGCAGCGCTGAGTGGCACGAGCCGGGGACAAGGCAGCACATTACGGCTTAGATACGCTGCTCATCTGTTCAAGATAAATTCAGTAAGCATAACTCATTACTATGAATACAACCTATTGTATTGTTTAATAGTTTTGATTGGCTGAAATTGCAATTTTTGCCTTGTTTCACAATTTTAATAACAATATTAATTTATTTATCTTTTAACTTATAATTATAACGACTGTTTATTTAACTGAAACTTAAGCTAGCTTAAAAGTGTATTATAATTTTTTATCACATTTAAACAGTATAGTGCATTACCATCAACGATTTAATTTCCACATTCCAACTCGTGGAATGACAGTCAAGCACTGTCCATTCGAGATAATAAAAAACCTTTTTCCATTACATTATAGGTGCATGTGTTTACTAACCAATTTATGTCCCAGAGTATGGAAGGCGTAGATATTATGAGCGAAGACATACCAGAAGTTCTTTCCCAAGTTCTGGAAGTACTTCGACAATATCTGACAGATGACGCCGGTGTAGTGATAGTGTCTACTAGTGACAGTGCTTTATCCAAGGCTGTATGCAATGAGATCCTTGTTAGGATATCCGCTGCCCCCAAAGCCCTTCGTGCCATGAAGGAAGCAGCCGCCATTATGGTGATAGCTGGAGCCGATGAAAGGAGCATACAGGTTTTTATATAATGATCAAATTAGATTTGAAAAGAAAACTCGAATAATATATAATACTAACTGCGCCCCGCGGTGTTACCAGCGGATTTCCGGGATTTTCGGGATGTAAAGTAGCCTATGTGTTATTCCTGGATGTCAGCTTCCTGTATACAAAATTTTATCAAAATCGGTTGAGCCGTTTGAGCGTGAAGAAGTAACAAACATACACACACACTCGCAAACTTTCGCAATTATAATATTAATTGTAATGTCGTTTAGTTGTTGTTTAGCTTACAAAGAAAAATTCTGATGTTATGGATATAAAGGTACTCGTATGTAAATTAAAATAAAATGTTAATGTGTTTAGGCTATCACACAACTGACGGGTCGAGGCAGGCAGGCAGGCAGGCTCGAGCCCTGCCTCGATACGCTGACATCATTGTTGCTGGTGTTGGCAAGTATTAATACCTCTATTATATATTATAAGTATTAATTTTCTTTTGTTTTTATCAATAAAGTCTCAAGAATGGTCCAGACAAGCATGAGTTCAAGACTGACAGTATTCATTGAATTAGAACTAATATTTTCGGTTGCTGCAAAGTAAAAGAAAGGTCGGGAGTATATAGGCAAAATATTAAAAAACGCGTCGTAAATCTGAAAATATCAGTTTTATTTCAGTCCAGACAAGCATAAATAAGTAATTATGACATACCTAATAGTTGTTTTGGAAGTTATTCTTATTACAATAATTATTGTGCCTAATTAAAGCTTTTGTTTACGTGACCGTATCTATAATTTTATCACGAATCTTTTAACAGCTTTTATCTGAAGAGGCATATGAAAACCATATTTTGTTTACTCATAACCTAGTAATTTTTGTGAAAGATTTAATATAATATAATGCCATGACAGGTGTCACGTTTTTTACAAATGATAGCAGGATAGATTTGCTAAGTGCTAAGAAATGATCTTCAATTAATGTTACTTATGCCGTAAATATAAATAACTCACAAGTTGCTCACAATGTTTATATGAAATGACTATAACATCTTCATGTAAATGTCTTTAAAGTTATTAGAAGAGTACTAATAATAATTCCATTGTATGTATGTATGTATACTTTTCCATTGCAGCGTATACTTACGTGGCGAGGTGATGGGCGGTGAGGCAGGGAGTCCTTCGTGTTGCTGAACCACAGTTTCGTGGAGCTGCTGGAGACCGCTGATGATGATGGGACCTAATGTTGGACTACGCCGACTTTGGTATAACTATTGGACCTCTATTATGATTATATTGAACTTATTTTATATCTAGATAAATATTTTATATATTTTTTTTATGCTATGGAATCTTTTGCACTGGAATCGTGGAATATTTTATTGTTGGACGAATATATCTTGAGTATTGTGTGAAGAAAACTAGGAGGAGTTTGAGGAGTTTGTTTTTAAAAACTTTGAGATAATTATTTTAAAATGTATAAAATTTAACGCTTTTTGGAGTAATTTTAACATCAATTAGTACACTGAGGTTCTGTATAATTATTATCGACTACAATATTTATGCAAGATCGATTTTCCAATTTATTAAAATATTTTATATATTTTTGTTATGCTATGGCTTCCTTTGCATTGGAATCCTGGATATTTTGCTAATGTCATCGTTTTTATTTGTTGGATGAGTCATATTCTTGAGTACGGGGTGTAGGAAACACAGAGTTTGTTGAATGAAATAAAGCCGTTTATTCTATTCAAGAAACATAATTAATTGTTATTTAATATTTTATGTAATTGTTATAAATATTGGGCGAATGTTCATTTTATGTTGACATATATCATGTATTTGTTATATATATTTTTACTAGCTTTTGCCGCGACTTCGTCTGCGTGGAATAGTGACTTCCGGCAGATTTTTGGTTCTTCCCACATAGTTCCCGTTCTTGCGGGGTTTTCGGAATGGTTGAGTTCCCGTAGAATTTTCAGGATAAAACCTATGTTTTTTTTTATTCACAATGAAGTACTCTTAACCAACAACATATTTATTTGTTTATTTGAATAAAGATTAATATTATTATGTTGATACAACTTAAACAAATTATTTCGACCAAATTAGGTACCATAAAAACGGTTTTTGTGAGTTAATCTTAAAAGATAGACATATACTGTCGCGGACTGTTTTTTAGATCATTAAAAGAGCTATTATTCTTTAATACATATTTTTTGTGTATCTTGAACCGTTTTCACGGCGCACGCAACGGAAGGCTTCAAAGATGAAATAATTTCTCCCGTTTTTTACACATTTACCACTATATCTTTGCTCCTATTGGTCGTAGCGTGATGTTATATAGCCCACAGTCTTCCTCGATGACTGGACTATCCAACACAAAAAGAATTATTCAATTCGAATCAGTAGTTTCGGAGATTAGCTCTTTCAAACAAACAAACCAACCATTCAGCTTTATAATATTAGTATAGATTTGACATAATTATTGTTTTTAAATATTTGAGATAATATTTTTTTAATATATAAAAACTAAAGATAGACTTTTGAAGCATTTAGGAGCACCACTTAGTACACTGTACACTTACTTCTGTACAATTTTTGAGGACAAAATTTGATGCAAGATCGTTTTCCTAATTTAATATTCGATGCAAAATCTATTTATCCTATTTAAGTACTCGATTATCTCCCTACTCTAGTTACGTAAGTTCATTAGAGAATGGATGGTTAGACCTAGCGATAAGAACGCCTTATTGTGCATTAACTTTTATTTTGTATATATTTTATTTTTATTGTTATATTAATAAAGTACATTATTATTATTACATTAGGTATGTATATTTCTAATCGAGTGCACGGATTGGTCTCAGAGTCCGCTACTGTTGTCGGGTTTGTTGGTCCGAGGGACCACTCTCTCTGAGTTGAGGGACTGGTCGACCAGGTGCGTGTATACACAGACTTATTAACATAACTTTGATATACGTACAAGGAGTAACTAGAATATCTAGGTGGACATTTGAGGCCGAATCATTTCAGTCGAGCATTATCCAATCTGTATAAAGAATGCGAGGATTTGAAATATCGACATCATTAATATTACAGATATATAACTAGTTATGTAGTTATTTTATCATGTATCGAAAGCCTTCTCGATTCTTTGTCAATTAACATAATATCGATATTTAATAAATTCAAAGGTATACATATATTCGTCGATAACTAGCTGCTTAAAAGAAATTGTTTTATATTTATGCTCATTGCAAAGAAACCATCGTCACTTAACTGTTGGAGCAAGATTTGAAAGTACATGTATTGTAAGCGTTCAATATAAGCCTCATAATATATACATGTATATTATAATAATGTCAATTTCCTGTCTATTGAAATACATATTATTGTTTAATTTGTGTTAAATACATCTCGTACGTGGGGCCAGACGAGCAGTGCTGCGTCATCACCGGATATCCGTTGTCATCGCGATTGGTTAC